TAAATAATAGTAAATAATAAGGGTATTATTATAATCATTACTATCATTTGCAACATTACATAAAATAACAATAATAGTATCAAAAAACAATACTTTTTTCCCTACAACATTAATTTAAAAATATTAATGCTGATAATGATAAAGTATAAATAAATAATAACAATAAACAATAATAATAATAATAATTATTATTATTATTATTATTATTATTATTATTATTATTATTATTATTATTATAACAACAAGACAAGCCCAACAGTATTTTGATTGTGCAATGAAACGCCTTAGGCTACTTATCCGTGTGACTGCGTATTCAATTCAATTCAATTTTATTTATAAAGCGCCAAATCACGACAACAGTCGTCTCAAGGCACTTCACATAATAAACATTCCAATTCAGGTAAGTTCATTAAGCCAATCAGAAATGATGTTTCCTATATTAGGAACCCAGCAAATTGCATCAAGTCACTGACTAGTGTCAGACTTTACAGCAATCATCATACTAAGCAAGCATATAGCAAGAGTGGAGAGGAAAACACCCTTTTAACAGGAAGAAACCTCCAGAGAATCCTGGCTCAGTATAAGCAGCCATCCTCCACGACTCACTGGGGATCGAGAAGACAGAGCAGACACACACGCACACACACACACGCACGCACACACACACACACACACACACACACACACACACACACACACACACACACACACACACACACACACACACACAAAGACAAAGTAATGTGTCTATAGTTATATTATGATTTCTTAGTAAATATTCTATTTGGTGAGAGATAAACTTTATTGTATTTATCCTAGTGGATCTATAATTAAACGGCTAAACTAGTAGTAGCACATCCAATGTCAAGGAAAGCAAAAAGTTACTATCAGGAGAAGGAGAATGTTTAAGTGGTTAGCAGCAGTGTGCTAGACGATGGCCCCCTTCATGAGGCCACCACAGCTCAGCAGAACATCATTGTAGCTTCTTCTGGGGAGAAAAACACTTAGAGAGAAAGTAATGTTAACAGCTGAAATTGCAGAAAATAGTACAGTTAAAGAGCAAACTGTAGAAGAAAGCAGTAGTGTGAGAAAAGAGGTCAGTGTATCCTCCAGCAGTCTAAGCCTATAGCAGCACAACTACAGAGATAACTCTGGATAATCTATCCTATTTAGATGGAGGCATGTTGGAGGCAGGGCAAGGGAGAACTGTCTTTACCGACTGTACACTCCACCTCCCTGTACTCCCCCACTTGTCCAGATTAAGGCTAACATCAGATTTTAACCATAGGCCCTATCAAATAAAAATGTTTTAAGCCTAGTCTTAAAAGTAGACAAGGTGTCTGCCTCACGGACAAAGCTGGGAGCTGGTTCCACAGGAGAGGAGCCTGATAACTTAAAGATCTGCCTCCCATCCTAATTTTAGATATTCTGGGAACCACCAGTAAACCTGCAGTCTGAGAGCGAAGTGCTCGGTTAGGAACGTATGGAACAATCAGATCACTGATGTATGATGGGAGCTTGATTATTAAGAGCTTTGTATGTGAGAAGAAGGATCTTAAAATCTATTCTGAATTTAACAGGTAGCCAATGTAGGGAAGCTAAGACAGGAGAGATATGATCTCTCTTTTTAATTCTCATCAGAACTCTAGCTGCAGCATTTTGGACAAGCTGAAGACTTTTAACTACATTCTGTGGACTTCCTGAGAGTAATGAATTACAGTAATCCAGTCTTAATGTACTAAAAACTAGTTGGTTCGGCATCTGCAGTGATGCGGACGCTAAGCCGATCTGTCGTGGGGAAGAGGGAGCTGAGCCAGAAAGCCAGGCTCTTGATTTACCGGTCGATCTACGTCCCAATCCTCACCTATGGTCATGAGCTTTGGGTAATGACCGAAAGAACGAGATCGCGGATACAAGCGGCCGAAATGAGTTTCCTCCGTAGGGTGGCCGGGCTCAGCCTTAGAGATAGGGTGAGGAGCTCGGACATTCGGGAGGGACTCGGAGTAGAACCGCTGCTCCTCCGGATCGAAAGGAGCCAGTTGAGGTGGTTTGGGCATCTGGTCAGGATGCCTCCTGGACGCCTCCCCGGGGAGGTTTTTCGGGCATGTCCTGCCGGCAGAAGGCCCCTGGGTCGACCCAGGACACGTTGGAGAGGTTACATCTCCAATCTGGTCCGGGAACGCCTTGGGGTCCTGCCGGAGGAGCTGGTGGACAAGGCCGGGGAGAGGACGGCCTGGAGCTCCCTAATTGGGATGCTGCCCCCGCGACCTGGACCCGGATAAGCGGAGGAAGACGAAGACGACGAAGACAGTCTTAATGTAATAAATACATGAACTAGTTTTTCAGCATCACTCCTGGTAAGGATGCTTCTACTCTTAGCAATATTCCGAAGGTGGAAAAAGGAAATCCTACAAACCTGTTTAACCTGGGATTTGAATGACATGTCCTGGTCAAAGATAACACCAAGGTTCCTTGCTTTGTTCTTGGAGATTAATGTAATGCCATTCAGGTCAGGTGATTGACTAAGCAATTACCTTTTCTGGATTTCTGGTCCAAAGATGAGAACTTCCGTCTTGTCTTGATTTAAAAGCAAAAAGTTTAGAGTTATCCAATTTTTATGTCCTCAAGACAAGCCTGTAATCTACCCAACCGATTAGGTATGGAGTGTGTGTGTGTGTGTGTGTGTGTGTGTGTGTGTGTGTGTGTGTGTGTGTGTGTGTGTGTGTGTGTGTGTGTGTGTGTGTTGTGTGTGTGTGTGTGTGTGTGTGTGTGCACATGAATTTATTTTAGGTTATTGATAAATGAGAGAAAACATTTTCCTTTGTAAGAAATCTGAGGCACTTTTTTTTTAAACAGGTTGGGGAATAAAATGTTAAACTTGTATCTACACATACTTGAAAAGTATTTGACCATATTACTTTCAAAGCTACTGTTAGGTAACTAAAGATTTGTTATATTTTACAAGGTTAGCAACAATTAATGTTGCCTTTTGGTCAAAAGACTGCTTCTGTTTACAGTTTTAGAATCACTTTATTTTACCTTGTAAACTAGCATTTTTTGAGCATGACTAGTTTAAAGTAAAAGTAAAATAAAAATTTCCCATAGCTTTAACTAACTTGTACAATAAAGTAGTTAATCCTGAAGACACTCTTTGTTAATACTGATTGTGAATCGATTTAAATCGAGAATCGATTCTGAATCGAATCGGCACCCTGAGAATCGGAATCAAATCTAATCGTGAGTTGCTCTAAGAGTCGCATCCCTAGCAAATATACATATCTAAGATATCTGCATGCGCCACTTATAGGGTAGGTCAATGTTAAAGATTTTTGCGCCCCAGAGGAACAGGAAATGCATCCCACAACCTTTTGTTCATGGTAAAAGTATAAGAAAACATTTTAAAGCTTCACTTAAATGCAGAATATACATCACACTTATACTCTGTATAATGTATAGATCATTTAGTTAAAAATCAAAGTGTTTTAAAAATATTTTGTGATCTTCCTCTTCATCTTCCTGCGAGACTGGTGGGGCGGTGCCCCAGTGCCACTGCTAAATGGGATAAAAAAAATACATGAAAAGAGCAAATAGTCATTCAATAAAAATGTCTCAAAATGAATTAAATCATGAAAGACCAAACCATTGAATACATTAAATAAAACGTGATGAAAATTTCCTCAGTTTTTTGGTCAAAAATGGAATTACAACTTTCCCTGCAGCAGCCTGCTGTACAATGAGTTAACCCTAACACGTCAAGTCTTACAAAATAAGCCACAAAGTAAAAAGAGCCACACTGTCAGACCAAAATTGGGGTTTTCACTTAGAAATCTAGAAGCAACAAATCCAGGTCACCATCAGTCCTGATTTCATAGCTTCCTTCAGTTCCCTCAAATGAGTATAGGTGACGTGTTGATGTTCACTCTGGTTTTAGCTTTTTTCTTCACCTCCAAAGACATTCCCTTTCAGGCATTTACTTCCAGGCTCCACAATGGAAAATTGTAAAAAATAAAAGTTTTGTAAAAGTAATTAGTTACCTAGCAAAGTAACTGTGACATGTATGTTCTATAATGCAGCTATGTTCCATAATATCTATAACGTGAAAGATTTTTTTAACTGAATGATTCTGACAAACTATAAAGAACATTTTGGATATCTGAAAAGTTCATTTAATAAGAATGTTCTTTTGGATATCTGGAATGTTAATCTCTTTTAGGAACAATAGAATTATAAATATCTGGAATACACATCCAGTCCGCCTAATAAATGTTAGAAAGGCTACCTTTGTGTTTTAGGAATTCTAAAATATGCCGGTACAGCGGATGTCACTCACTCCGGCTTCGGTCGGCTCAGGAGTCATTTCGTGTGTGTCCTGTCAGACAGCCTGACAACGGCTGTGCTTCATTCAACCACTATATAATAACAGAGAAACACGCCACTTTATACACCCAGTAACATTAACACCGTTGCAATGGTGGGAAAAGTAATTAATTAGATTTTTCTGTTACCTAAGAAATAACACTGTTAATAACGCTGTTTTACTTAAACGCCATTACTCCCAAAACTGTTTATTAGCTACCAGCAGAGAAAGTAGCAAACCACCATTAAGCAGGTAAAGAGCTCCCCCCCCCCCCCCCCCCCCCCCCCCCCCCCCCCCCCCCCCCCCCCCAGGGTACCTACCCACTCCACAAAACTGTTAAGTGCTGTTTCTGGTCAGCAGAGGGCTGCAGAGTACTGTCCTATGTGAAGTTGGCAAAGTTTACCAACACAATCACTGAACCACCACTTTGAAAGGAGTTGATTAAAGTGTAAAAAAACAGCTTAATGTCATTCTAAGATGTGAAATTTTGAGGCAAACGATTCTGTATTTTTGCATTATTCTAGCATTTTGTGCACTGTTACCCATGTTATTAAACTAAATAAGATGTGTTATTAAACTAAATAAGACGCCAAACATGACAGAGTAACTTGATTCTGACTCTTTTCTGTTTCTGCTGCTACAGTGGGACGGTGGTGAAAGCTCGGGACAAATATTATCACCCTGGCTGCTTCGTGTGCTCCGACTGTGACGTCAACCTGAAACAGAAGGGCTACTTCTTTGTGGAGGGGCAGCTGTTCTGTGAGCTCCACGCCCGAGCCAGAATGAGACCACCGGAGGGGCACGACCTCGTGACGGCGTTTCCTTCTGCGTAGATTTCTCTCCTCTGATCACAAACACCAGAACACTTTGGTCAGTCCTCTCAGGTTTTACATTTGCATCTAATGTATTCATCTGCACAGAGATGCTGTTTGTGTAAAATACTCTGAACTGAAATTGTAATGAGGATCAGGATTGGCTGTAATTTTATTGTTTTGAGTGTCGAACACTAAAAATAGCATGAAAACTAAAATATCTGAACAGCAACTCACGTTCACACAGTTCAAAATGCAGATTCAACATTTTCATGGAGGGTCACTGTTTCCATTCAGAGTTAAAGGCAAAATCAGCATCAAAGCCAATTGAAGTCACCAATAAAATTAGTCAAAATGCTGTTCTTGAACTGTGTACTTAAAGTTAAAGCCTAATTTATATGTGAAAGTTTAATAAAACCACTTTTGAACAACAAATCGTTGACTAGTGTGTTTTTCTTTCATTAATTCACACTGACTCTATAACCAAATATCTCTATGAAGTCTAGCAAAGGTCAGGTGCAATCAAGTTTAGGAAATGAACCATGAGCAGTCATGCTGTGTTTTTGTTTTCAGTTTCTGAATTGATTTGATTATGAGGGAGAAAAAACTGCAGTTTGGTGAACTGATAAGATTAAGAGTTCAGCTTAGCAGTAAAAAGAGAGTTGTGTGTAAATTTGACATTTCTAAGTCAAAGGTCTGGTCAGTCATGATTTTTAGATACATTTTAGTTAACTGACATCTACAATCTTCATTGATACATTTGTAACTAGTGTAACAAGTTTTACTTACTAAAATTACTAATATTTCAAATTCTAGATGCAGCTTCTGTATTATTTATATATAAAGTTATGTCACGATCCTGGTCTGTTTTTCTGATCTCTCTGCACTCACCTGGGACTGCTTGATTGTTTCCACCTGTGTTACCCACGATCTAATCTAGCCTCAGCCATAGTTGGAGTGCCGTATCATTGCACAAACTCTCAAGGTGCAGACAAGTCAAGGAAATCTAGTCAAAGTTATGTCAAGTCATTCAAACTAAAGTCACACTGAACCGTCTTTTCTATTAACCCAGTTTTATTTTATGTTTTTACGTGATCTTTTATTCTGTGTTTTGGCTAAATCCCTGGGTCCAAATCACCTGATTGGGACAAGATTTGGCGACTTACTGGTTAAAATTCATGATTGGCCTCTGAGTGGCTGAGAGCAAAGAAACTCTTCTGCTGCCGTTGTTCCTTCTTCATTTGGGTAAAATATGCAACGTTAATGTTTTATCTTCACAAATGACTCAAGTCTGACTGTGCTGCCACATTTTGAGGAATTGCTAATGCTAACAGTTAGCTTCTATTAGCCGAGACATGCTCTGCTCTCTCCTGGACTCTAAATCAACACAGTCTTCCATGGTTGCAACCAAGCTGGGTGAATCCATGAAAGCTAATTTTAAAGTGTGATGTAACTTTTTCTGGCCCGAGTGTTTCCGCATCTATTTTATATCAGTGGCTAAGCAGGAAATAGGGGTAGCAGACTATTTTCACTATCAGCATGATCAGGGTGACCGATCGTATTTCAAGCAGAACAATCATTAGTTTCTCACCGAACCTTGAGATGTTTTTTTGGAATATAATGTAAACTGCTCTGCTCTGGCTAGCAGTAAGCCCGTGTTCCCCACTACAATTAATCTTTTTCTCTAAACTGTGATTGTTTTAAAGACCTATCTGCAAAATGTAACAAACACATTAAGTCTTTCCACTGAAAATCCCTCCTAAAGATCTTAGCTCTCTCTTTAAATGAGCTCCTCCTTGTGTATAGAACTCAAACGTACCAATGAGCCTGTTGTTCATGTGAGGAGCTGTCTCCGATCGATTCACCGCTTCTCTGACTTCACTTAACTTTTGCACAAAAGGACTAAAGACAAAATCAATGCAGTCCTACCCAAAAGAACATTAATCTAATATTTATATATATATATATATATATATATATATATATATATATATATATATATATATATATATATATATATATATATATATATATATGTGTGTGTGTGTGTGTGTGTGTGTGTATATGTATAGGCTGAGAGCCAATGGATGGTTTTTTGGAAGGATTTAAGTGCTTTTACTTTTGAAAGTCCAAAGACAAGCTCCATTAGCAGAGACGGGTAAATGCAATTTACTTTAAAGCTATTGTTCATTTTAGTTCATCAGCTAGTGGACTATTCTCCATTCTGACAGTGAACTTTGTTACAGAAGCAGCTGCTCAATATTGTCAGACAGCTAAAGAAACAATTATTGACTTAATGCTGAATACACCATCAATAACTCACTAAAAACAGAGACCTGGAACTAATGCCCCAGTCCCTCAGCTCCTCACGTACCCGTAAAGTTAATCAGTGAGGACGCGGTCAACAGGAAGGGCTCTTTAAAACCTGAACACCAGCGTAATCACTGTAAAAGCAAGCAGTGGTAATTACACTCCGACAAAGACAAGCAGGGTGGGGGAGGAACTTTGTTCTTCTGTTTTCTAAGAAACTGTTTCAGCTTCCTGCTGCAGCTTTTACTGCAAACATCTGCATCCCTTTGTAACTATGGTTCAGACCTCAGAATCATTTTTGAGCTCTTTTTCTTTTATCTTTAGTTTAAACGCTTCACATTTGGCTTATCGAGCTTTTGACTGAACATTTTATATTGTAAATACAACTATTTACAATGTTCTTCTTTGTTTATTGTTTGGTGTGGTCAGCATCCTTTCCCACCAGCTGATGCAGATTTAGGACATGAAACCCATGAATTCAGCTCAAGAGGAAAGAGATGCAGTAAAACATGATTTTATGAGCTGTCATCCATGATTTACAAAAACCTCAATCAGTGACTTTTTCTTCTACTTAGTGTTTTCATTTCTCTTTAGGCATGACAAAAATGTGGAATTATTTTATTTTTTAAAATGTTGTAAAGAGTTTTTTAAATGCTCACTCTGGGGTAAAATATGCATTTTCTACAGAATACAGCCATGTATTAAAACTGTGTTGTGTAATAGGATATCTAATAAATGGCATCTGTTGATCTGGTGAACAGCTGATAACTAACTCTTTAAACATTTGCTCATTATATGCTGGGAGATTTATGTGAAGCAGGCTAAAGGCTAATGTTGAGCTAACAATGCTAACGGTGAATTAGAAGCTCTAAAACTTTCTCAAGCTACTTTTTCAGTCACCAACATCTTGATATCGCAGCAAAACGTTGAATTATGAATCAATTGTTGCGTTTCACTTCCTTTAATTAGACGTCCAGAAATACAACAGCAAAATAGCAGACAGCCACACTTCCTCCAATGCAGGTGGATTATTACCGTAATAACTCAGTGCATATACATGCACTTCTAAGTTGATCTAAAGTAATAAACTGGGAGCCTTTTACCTAGGTTACATCAGAAAAACTAACTGTCGAATGTTTGTTCGACATACACCCTTTCGTGTGGAAATTCTTCCGGTTAGCTTATAGCAACACAGATAGTAAACAAACGCTGGCGGGGTGAAGTAGACAAAGTTAAAACAAGATCTGCACAATGGCCGATGGAATGGAAAACAGCAAGGCTGTAGCACCGCTTATGCGGTTTGTACTGTACTGTTTGATGGGGTTTCACATGTTACTTTGTGGCAATGTTACTATTAGAAAACTGCTTCCGTTGTCTCATCACTACCAGAAGTTACTGGTATCAGCACGATTGAACCGTTTACATGCAGATAAAGTTGGTTACCACTCGCATTATATGATTGCCCAGTTTTCCTTCAGCAAGACTAACGCGTTTACATGCATTTAAAAAAAACAACGTCAGTCCAGTTAGGGCAAAAGTTTTGTTTTCTGATGTAAACACACTGAGTGTGGTAAGTGTTCCCTACTGTAAAACACCCAATAATTCTACCACCAGATATGATATTTATTTACTTATCATCTTACTGTGTGAGACTCCTTTTTGCTTGCCAACTAGAACCTTCTGGTGCTGATTTGTAACCTGCAACAGCCGTGAAACCCACTGAACTGCAGTGAGAAAGTGATTTTTTTGCTCAGGAAAAGACCAAATTTGACCACAGGATTTCATTCTTCATTCCGACATATTGCACCTTTAAAGCCCATAACAAAAAGCATGTAAACAACATCTACTTATGTTATCAGTGATATGAATGTAAATCCAATGAAAATGTTATTTGTTTTTATGAGTCATTACATTGAGTGGTCTCTGATACTTTGTAGTTGAAGTTATGAGGTTCAATTACTTAATTTAACGTAAGAAAATACAGAAATTATTAAGACACCAGCATGCAAAAAAGATACTGAGCAAAAAGAAGGTGAACAGGAGTTCACACAAAAGTTGATTTTGTATTATAAAGGAATTGTCAACCATTTTGAAGCAAATGTCTATGTAAAATGTGTAAACAGCTATTATCGTTCTCATTTTGTGTAGTTTCTTGAATGGCCTCCAAAGATTGGAAATTTGCATACTGCAGGATTGATAAGCGAAAGGCTGCTCCTATTTTGTGAAAGATTAGTTTATCATTTTAAATTTGACCATGATAAACCATTTTTAAACATTTTTGTGCATCATTTTTTTGTGTAACAAATGATTCTGCCACATTTTCCCTCAGCCGTTAAACTATTTAGCAGTTTCTTGTAAAAAAAAAAACATTAACAGATTTGTCTCTGTGACTGTATATTAAGTCATAAAGTCTGTAACAAAGCTCACATGGGGGAGCGGGTCCTGAATCCTAGCAAAGCTTTTAGGGAAAAGGGATGTGGATAATTCCTGCACAGAGCGGGTCTGCTGTTTGTCATCTGTGCTAATAATCATCACAGCCCAGAGCAAACAAACTGAATAAATCTAAGTTTGATGCATTTATTGTATGACTGAGAACTTCTGGTCTTTTGGGGATGGCTTCTGAACGTAGCTTAACTTTTGTTAACGAGCAGTTGAGGAATGTGATGTCTGTAAGTAAACACCAAGTATAAGTCAACATTACACCCTATAAGTACAGCATAAAGACTAGCATGGAGAAATATTAGAGGAGAAACAAAAATAAACTTCAGATTTTTCAAATACCGGTACTTATTTCTAAGCATATTTGTGGTATCAGAGTTAGCTGTATTTATATTTCAACATGTTCTGTGTCATAATTACAATGCATGTTATATTGCTTAACCTATTTTATGTATGGCTGCTAAGTCAGTCTTTAAAATAATAATTAATGTAAAAATGAAATCATGTTATACAGCCATGCCCAGAAGTTACACCAGCTTTTATAGTTTTGTTTTACGTGATCAGAAATCTTTATCCATCAGCTGTCAGAGCTGATTTTCTAATTCTGTCATTTTTAGTGTTGCAGTACTTTCGCTCTGATCCAAGTTAAGCTGCAATAAATCAGTAGATCTAATGTTCCCAGAGAAAAAAAAACCCAACAAAGATAACACACGCCAACATAATCCATTAATTCTCAAGTTTAAACTCGAGTTTTCTCCGTTGTTCTGGTAATCATGTTCAGTTAGCCACAAAATGTTTCAAATTCTATGTCCTCATTTCACACAAGTGAGGGGCCAAGTCAAACGTTGGTTGACCTGAAGTCGGAGCACTCCCTGTCTTCGTCTTTGTGTTTCTCTCTGGTTTTGGTGCTTCTGTATCCAACACCAAAGGGTCGGTAACACTTGACCACAGATAAAAAGGCAGTCCTGTAGCTGTTGTTCATCCACCCATACAGAATGGGATTGATGCAAGTGGAGCACATGGCTATGATGTGGAACACGGTGAAAAGCAGCTTGAAGTCCTTCATGTGCAGCACAGCACTGTCTATGTCAATCGCCAGCTGGAACGCATGAAAAGGCAGCCAGCTCACAGCGAACAGCACCACCATGGTTATCATCATCTTGGTGGTCTTCCTCCTTCGCTGGTGGTCATTCCGACCACAGATCATGTGCTTTTTTAGCTTGTTCCATATGCGAATGTACGCTACAGAATTAATGGCCAAGGGTACGCCGACTTGAACCAAAAGCATTGACATGCTGTAGATGCGTCCGTTCATGCTGCTCCCGGGCCACTTCTCTGTGCACACCTGAATAGATTCATCTGGGGAAAGGTCGAAGGATCCGTACTCCCTGAAAATGGCCAGCGGACTGGCGAGCAGGGCGCTGATGGCCCACGAGAACCCAATGACCACAGTGCAGATGTCTTTGGACATCTTGGTCTCCATGTGGCGGACGATGCTCCTGTACCGATCCAGAGCGATGATGTTCAGCGTGATAGTGGAGACGTGCACGGTCATGCCCTGAGCGAAGGGCAGCATGAAGCACAGGACCTGGCCAAACATCCACTCGTCATAAAGCGTGTAGACTAGGGTGAACGGCAAACACAGCGTGTTCACCAGCAAGTCAGCTACAGCCAAGTTTACGATGAAGAAGTTTGTCACTGTCCGTAGATTTTTAAACTTGTAGACAACGTAAATCACCAAAGAGTTTCCAGTCACGCCAAACAAGATGATTGTGCTGTAGGCCAGGATGAGAATGACCTGAACTCCAACCAGCTTTGTGCTGTCATCCAGTGTCAGAGGGTTCTCATCGTTCAGAGGAAAGCAGCAGTTAAACAGCGTGGCTTCGAGCTTGGAATCCACTTGAGTCGTGTTTGGCTGATCTGTTGTGTCCATGATGAACGGTCAATCTATGCAACAAGAGGGAATAGTGACCAGTGGACACTGAATAGAAGAACACAGTATTTCCTGATTTGTCCCAAAGTGGGTCAATTTGGGTACCAGAAGCAAATTTAACAGGAAATGTATGTATGCTAATTTAACACAAACAAAAAATATAAATAAATAATCCAGTCTCTACAGCAGGATTCTAGTAGGCCACAAAACAACAGACTGGTGATGGAGAATGAAAAATAAAAACTTACATTTTCTTTTTTTTTTTTCATTCAGCAATAAACAGGTACATAAATAAATAAGAGTTTGTTCGGGATGCAGCATCTCCAACAAACACCAGTCAAACATTTTCCTTTGCATTAAGATCTTCTGAGAACATCCTGAATCTGACTGGTGCAGCTGCTACACTTTCCAGAAACCCCTCAGCTACCTGTCAGAATTCACTAGAAACTTAAATATCGCATTTCTGGAGCCATTAATCACTGTTAGGTTAAATATTACGAGATCAACTCACCTTAGAGCGCAGAAAAAGCATTCCCGATTCGCCTCATCGTTTGCGATTTGCCACAAACTTTTATTTTAGCGCGTTTCCGGTCGCTTTCCGAGCAAACAAAACGATGTAAACCAAATTAAAAGACAATAGCCTATAGCCTCTGCGCGCTGCGGCGCGGCGTCTCCCGGTGCGCACTGCGGTCCATTTGGCACTGAGGGAGTCCTGAGCGCTATGGGAGGCAGGGAGAGGAGGATGAGGCTGAGGGGACACGTCTTCTACTCAGTCACGAAACGATCAAACAGAAAAGTGATGGCTCTTTGGATCACAATGTAGATTTCTCCCTGGAGGAGTTTAAAATATCAATCAGAAAGAGCGCAGAAAGCCACCGATTGAATACTTTAATAAAGTCATATGCATTAAAATAAGTCTATACGTATATGTCTTCTTCCTATAAATTCCTTCGGATGACATAACAAAGCACATTTTAGCTTTTTTTTTTTAGTTTATCTCTTAAAAATGACAAACATCATATTTCAGCTTATGTATGTTTAGACCTTGGTGCAGCTGATATATGTCTTCCAACTGAACCGAGTCTCTTCTTTAAGGAGAACCCGTCACAAGTGTTCCAGTCTGGAATCATAAATTATGTAGAGCACTTGTTTCCCTTCAATTCAAACCCATAACTTCTCTGCCCAGTAAAATATGACTCGCACGTCATCCGTTTTCTGTCCTGCTTCATCCTGATGAGGGTCCCTGCGGTGCTGGAGGCTCGCTGTCACTGGAACCAGAGGCGTGATCCACCCTGAGCAGGTCTCCAGGCCATCACAGAACCATGACAGAAATAAAGTAAAACTTTTTTTTCTTACTGCGCAAAAGCTGCAAATACTTTACCTACGATGAACTACAGGTCTTTTATAGAAGTGATTTAAAAATAAAACTGCATTGAAATAAAATATTTATACATTTGATAAGCTTTTAGCTGATTTAAATTGGGAAAACTTTCAAAATACTTATATTTAATAGGATATTTTAGCTATTTGACCATTAGTTCTTTTGTGTAAAAGCTGCTGTAGCTTATTGAACAATATCTCTGTTAGAAATAGAGCTTCTATCCATCAAGACTGATGAACTCATATCATAATATGTTACTGCCATCTTAAATCATCTCCCAGCTCTACAGTGTCATAGTTCTCTGTGTGTTTTAAAGAATATGCACAAATACTAGAGAAATGGAGCAATAATTTCTTTTTACAGAAACAGCCAAAAAGCTAAACTGACGACAGGTAAAACGTTTATAAAATTACATCTTTCGAACCCTTGTGAAATGTTCGATAATGCTATTTTAAGACTAGCAGTTAGCTCATCAATCCTGCAGGATGCAAACTCTGTTTCTTTAAAAAGAGGCTGTTCAACCTTTTGACAGAAACGCATATTTGCACTGCAGATGTCTCTTTAAACTTGATATTTTACAACATGTTGAATCATCTTTAAGATGTTCTGTCAAATGAAGAATTACAAGCGGCCCAGGTTAAGATAGATGAGAGAATTAGCCATTTAAATAAGCCTAATTTATGCTTCTCTGTCAGCGCCTAGAAGGAAACATGCACAGGCATTGAGGGAGACATTGGCCTTCAGACTTCTCTGTCACCTGGAGAGTGTTGCAAAGCAATTCTCCTCCAGAACAACAGAGGGCGTAGTGGGGTATCCAGTCATGTATCTGGTCCAAGATTTACTATTGTGTTTTAATTGTGTCTTTTGTATTTAAAGGGACAATGTGTAGTTTTTATATTTAATCTCTAAAAATACCCATTAAAATATTGTTGAAAATGAATTTAATGATTCCCAGTTGTTGAAAAATATTGGCGGCTTCTTAACATTAACCCTAAATGTCTGGTCTAAAATGCATGGGAGTGGGTCTAAGTCTCTGGGCGACGACATATTAGATGCCATGTCTACAGGAGCCCTTGAAGACAAAATGCAGTTACTGATTTGTAACGATTCAAAAATTTTACCATTCATAAACGTTGTTTTGCACATTTACCTCTTTACTGGTTACCAGTGATGAAAGGGAGTCTGATGTTCTTGTTCAATTTTCTGAAGTTTGCACTCACTAAACTTTTGTCCACTGTTTTTTATTAGATCAATTCAATTCAAAGATACTTTATTAATCCCAGGGGAAATTAGGGAAATCTTATCTGTTTTTCCCCTAATATAGGACTAAACGGGATTATTATATTGCCACAGACAGATGCAGAAGGGTTTTCCGTTCTTGTTCTTTGCATCATTTTACACAAACACACACACAAACACACACACACGCGCGCACACAAACACACACACACACAAACACACAGGCGCGCGCACACACACACAGACACACACATGCACACACATGCACACAAACACACATTTGAAACTTTTAGTTTTTTGGAAAAATATGAACTTAATTTTTTTTCTATTTCGATTTTAGATTAGTATGATAACTATTTTTAAACCACAGTTTGAACTCTCATAGATCCATTCAAAACTCTTTCATATAAAATCGTTTCCCTACCATGTAGTGCTGTGTGTTAGCGTAAAAATATAGACCCAGTCATGATCAGCTTGTGTTGGTTGTGTAAATTCATTTCCTGTTGACAGAAGCAGAGAACCTGATGTACAAAGAAGAGAAGAGAAAATCTAATTTTGCTTTGTGGCTGCACGCTGAAACTTAGAGGCCAATTTTACAGGCAACAAAACCAGGTTACCTTTCCCATCTCAGCAGCTTCTGTGGACCTGCACTCACATGAATAAAACCTGTGACGTTCAGACGTTACATCAGCCTCTCTGAAATCAATATTAAGCCTTCTGCTCAAGATTAGTGGCTAATTATACTGGAACCCTGATTATCACCCTTCGTTAACATTTGTCTATTCATCAAGCTGAATTCCCAGGAAGTCTGACCCCACTGATTTTTATGTTTTAAGGAGATGTTACCGCGAGTACTTCAGGACTTTATACGTTACATTTATTATCAGGCAAAAACCTTCCACCTACTGGGAACTATCATCTCCAACTGGAAGCTAAATATCAGCTTGACTTTCCAGGGAAAAGAACAGCATAAAAAGCTCTACCTGTCACAGCTGATGAGGTTGCTTTTCTGTTAATTAAATCCATTTTGTCTGTTTTCTTGGTGCTTTTGCCAAAGACAAAGGGACATAATCTGATCAGTTAATTACAGGGTTGATTAAAAATAGGGACAGCAAAGTATACTTTGTTCAGAAAAAGAATAATACTGAGAAATTGCAAGCAGCCATAGCAACACTACTTGGTACAAATGTGTGTTTGTGTGCCTCTGCTCCATCCTATCAGAGCCAGGTTCCGTTGGAGGTTTCTTCCTGTTAAAACAGAGTGTCGCTACCTGCTTGCATTGTTTGGGGATTGCTGTAAAGTCTCAACACAAGTCAGTGACTCAATGTAATCTGCTGAGTTTTCTTATGGCTTTTAACTGATTTGCATAATAAACTGAACTCAGTGCTCTGATAAGCAGGTTCAATTGAAATGTTTTCTTCGTGAGGTGCTTTGAGACGTCCCTTGTTGTGATTTGGCGCTATATAAATAAACTCATTTGAACAAGCCCAACTGAATTGAAACTACAGCATGTCATCAGTTCCAAGAAGGTGAGTGACTGCAAACAGTCCTGTTGCCATGTTTCAAACACCCTTACGACCTTGAGGTTAGTCAGAAATATTGTTGTTGACCCGAAATAAACTTTAAGAGCTGCTCCCTTCCAGCTGTGTCACATCAGTACCAGTTCCTAAGAACGGCTTCTACTTGCCTTCTATTTTCACATTTTATACATTCAGAAAACAAAAATTATTCCAGAAACCATTCTTTGTTTGTCTTTATGTATTTGAGTTCTGTTTTCATGAAGCTATGCAAGGTTCTGAGTTTTTAAAGCAGCTGGAAAGCACTGCTGTGTGTTACCTGCAGCTGTGAAGCAATTTACTCCTCTTAATCTATTTTCTATTTGAATTGATTTTATCTGGACTGCAGATTGTTTCTACTTTCTCTGAATATTTTGAACAGCTTAGTGATCTGTGCACACATCTGAGCAAAAGAAAGCAAAGTATAAGTATGTTGAAATGAATGGGGGCAGGCCAAATGCTCTGCAGTGAAGACCAGTATGTTAATCTATTTGTTAGCGTGTGTGTGTGTGTGTGTGTGTGTGTGTGTGTGTGTGTGTGTGTGTGTGTGTGTGTGTGTGTGTGTGTGTGTGTGTGTGTGTGTGTGTGTGTGTGTGTGAGACCAAGAGTCAATATGTGACGATTCGGGATGCCCCAGCGCGTCAGGAAATGACGATCAGGGACACACTGATGACACACCGTCCCAGAGCGTTGGTATGCGATGCCGGTGGTGAGACGGACATTAGAACGACTTGTCAACTAGTTAACCTTCCCCTCACTCCAATCCTAACCATACGGTCACAGTTACTGAGGTTAGGATTGGGGTGAGAGGAAGGTTAAATAGTCGAATAATGTCCATGTGACCGCGGGCATCAAACACTGACGCCAGCGGGGCCACATGTCCCTGATCGTCTCCTGACATGCTGGGGCATCCCGAATCGTTATACATTGACGCTTGGTCCCACGTGTCATATTTTGATGCTTTGGGTGTTAGAATGTGTTGGTTTGTGTGTGTGTGTGTGTGTGTGTGTGTGTGTGTGTGTGTGTGTGTGTGTGTGTGTGTGTGTGTGTGTGTGTGTGTGTGTGTGTGTGTGTATGTGTGTGTGTGTGTGTGTGTGTGTGATTGTTTGTCCTGTGTGTCTCTGTGTTGCCCTGCGATGGACTGGCTCTCTGTCCAGGGTGTACCCTGCCTGATTGCCCATTGACCGCTGGAGATAGGTGCCAGCCCCCCCGCGACCCTACGTGGTCAAAGCAGGTTCAGAAGATGGATGGATGGAAGGAAAATCATCAGTGGTGAAACTCTTGTAACTTTAACCCAAAAATACTTCACCTTACATGCATTATTTCCTACAAAAGGAGACATATCAGGCAAAACTCACCTTTCACAGCCTTTTATGTCACCCCGACGGTCTCTACTGCCTGTAAAACATTCCAAAAATCCACCTGACACAAGTCACTTCAAAAGCCCCTGTTTGTGATGTCACATATGGGGAAATTAGACTAGAAACCCCTCTCACTTGGAGAAGCAGCAACTCCACTCTGAGCCCCTCCTGGAACAGAGATTTTTAACTTTGTGCCCAAACTTTTTTCAGAGTCGTAATGCATATCATTTTATCAGTAAAGTCCCTCTGAATCATGTTATATAATTTTTTTTTCAATTATGTACTTTTTTGGGAAGAAAATGGCATGACTGGCAACTCATGTTGCCAGTGGTCTCACAGCTTGTCAGTAGGTGAAATGTCACCTAATAACAGGAATAGAGAATATCGTCATAACCAGGGCCGACCATGGGGCATTATTTTCCTCGGGCAAAATTTTTCCTAGCACCCCCCCTGGAGGAGGGTCTGGACTACCAGCCTCTGGAATGAGAGGAGATCCATCTGCCCGTTTTTCCAGGACCTAAATCAATGTCAAAACATGCATATTATGCTATTACTCAATCTTCAATATCATCCCTTGTACATTGTCATGTTCCATATGTAGAACGTTCTGTAAAAGCAATATCCCACTTGAGTTTGTGATGATGGATTTCACCACTGTTGACCGAAGATTACTAGATTACCCTGAGTCATAGGTGTGTGTACTGGTTATGTAAGCTCTTGTGTGCAAAGAAAAGTGCACCCCCAGCTGCACATCAACATCTTCATTAGCTTTTCAACTAGCTAGCTATCGTTAGACTGTGAGATACAAGCTAATGTTTGCTAGCAAGAAAATGATGTATGGTAACGTATACAAATCCTATACACACAGGCCTTGGATACCTGTGAAGTTATTTAGCTTGGAAAAGTATTCTAAGAGGACTAAAATGAGCCATTGTACATCATTCCAATATTTTAAATAAGTAAATTAGGAGCGATCCTGCAGAGAGTTTTCCTTTAGTTAGCGACATGCTTTGTACCTATATTGTTGCCACTTACAGAAATAAGCCTATTAAGAAACAAATATTTATCTTGGGTATAATTTTTGGATGGAGGGTTACTATAGAGACTTGAATGAGTAAATTATTACAAATATATTTTGGGGCAGTTCATCTGAAATGTCTAAAAATGACCTGTTTCCAGGATGCTTTGCAGTCGCCATGTCTTCAGCAGGAAGGAGCAGGAAGCAGATGATGTCATACGATTGGAAGCACTTGGAAACAAATTTTTTTTAGACAAAGCTTTTGTCTAAGTTGTTTACTAACAAATAAGTGGAACATGTTGGGTTAGTAACACTGTAATTTTTTTATGTGAGTCAAAAATGACAGTGATACACTTTGGCAACAATAGTTGCCAGTGTGGCTACCCAGCCCTGAAACGGATCATTCTGGAAGGTACTCACAATGTCAAGAATAAAACTGCTGAAATTGCTTCATGTGAGATGGATTTTGTGCAAAGGGCTTCAGATACATATTTTGTGACGTCTGAACAAAAGAAAAGAAAGGTCAAGTCTGAAAAAAAGTCTAAACATGCCCCCCTTCATAGATCTGCCTTCCAGTGTTTCTATTTACGTTCTCTGAGCAACTAATGATTACACTTTACAAATAAACACAAAAATATTTAAGACGGTTTGACAGCACAATTGTTAAATCATACATATTTATTTTTTTGAAATTGTTGCCTTTAAATGCCACAAAACAAATGCACCTTATCAGTTTCATTGTATGGAACAGTTTGGGGGGGGGGGGGGGGGGGGGGGGTTTATGACGCCATCCAGATGGTGAAAGAGACGAGCAGGTTGAGTAGTAGCATCAGCGGCGTTGCACAGCCCAGATACAGCATGGTGCCGACTCCGCACACTGCTGTCAAACAGGCGCTCATCCTGCTGAATACAATCTTACGGACTGTTGTGCAGAACTAACAAAAGAAAATATATATTTTTATTTATTTGCGTTTGTACACATACACATATACATACATATGTATGTGTGTGTGTGTGTGTGTGTGTGTGTGTGTGTGTGTGTGTGTGTGTGTGTGTGTGTGTGTGTGTGTGTGTGTGTGTGTGTGTGTGTGTGTGTGTGTGTGTGAGCTGTTAATTTCTCCCAGTTTGTTGGCAGATTGCTATTTGGAAGGCCTCAGTTTTGAGAAATATGTGACTTTTTAATGGATTTATAAGCTAATGGCTACTTTGAATAGGGGCCAGAACTCTTTATTTCAACTCTGTCACTACTTTATGGTTATTTCATCAAATAAATTAACAAATTCCAGCTGGAAGTAATCCAGCTATGCCAGGCATGCTACAGCTTGCTGCTATTGTTTGCTTTTACAAATAACTATGAAATTCTTTATAAATAATCACATATTAAATTGAAAGATTCATATAGTGAAACTGCAAGTTTTACAACAATGGGCTGCTGTTACTTTTTAAAAAAGATGAAGGCAGTCTATTTTTGTCATTGCTATGCTTAGATTAGCCAAGAGCAGATTAATTTGGTCAAAACTAACCTTGGTGACTTCAAACTAAAGATTTTCAGAAAGCTTTCTGCAGCAAATGAGATATGTTATAACCATTCCACAGAATAACGTTTGTTTATTTAACTTAGCAAGTCAGTGGCTGTTCTTGGCAAAAAGTGACTCTATAAGGAGCTATTTGCATGAATCAGTAAAATTCCTTTGCACTCACGTGTCAGCGTGTAAGAATTTAAATCCTTAAAGTCATGTACTGGAAAATGTTTTTTTATTTGATTTTTTTACATAAGAGCCTGCAGCTTAGCACTGATCAACAAGAGCTTTTGAAATGCTTACTATTTATTTGTTTAAAATAATCACACATAGATATGGGGTTTTTAAACCTCTAATTCACCTCTACTAGAGGCAGTAGCGCCCCCAAGGGATGGCCAGGGGAGCCACGGGCACCCCTGGAAAACTGTTGACTGTCCCTCTGGCCCCTTCAGAAAAGACTGCCCCCACCCTCAATGAGTCACATTCCTCTTCTTTATTTAAGACATAATTTTAAAGCCAACAAACAAACAAACATGTCTATTTTAATAAAAAAAAATTTAATAATTGTACTGATTCATCATATAAATAAGTATTTGGCTAAGGTTCCCAATTAAAATAAAGTGTAAATCCCAATAGTTTTTGTGGATATTTTTGTAAAAACAGCAACAGGCAAATTTCACGGTTTTAAAATTCTACTAAAAGACATTTTCAAACAAAGACTGAAGTAACTGTTTGAAATTTTGTCTTTTTTCCAGAAATAATAGTTTTTCTTAAATTTGAGGTAAATGTGTTGGATGCAAAGGCCTTTTTGTATTTTTTAATGGAAAAGAATGACAGAACATTCAGTGCACTGCTAGGCTAAACATTCCCAGAGTTACCAGAGGAACCAATTTGGTCATCAAGTTAGGTTATTATCTCTATCATTTATTTTGCGAGCAAGAGACAGAATGACTTCCATTCTTCTTTGATCATAACTAATAGATTAAAACATTTAAACAGAATAAAATATGACCATGCAAGAAGCTAACATCCTCATGGGAAGTCACTGAATGGTTGCTGTTTGTGAGGCTAGGTGTCATTTAGAAAGATGCACAGTGATGTTACCTGGTATGTCTGGTAGCTTATGGCTATCCCATATCTGCAGTACATGACGTAGTGCTCGCAGTTGTACCACAGCAAGCTGTAGGTGACAGATCCCAGGAGCTTCTCAGCCCTTCGTGCCACCTCCTCTCCATCCAGTGGAGGCTGTCTGCAAGCTTTATCCATGTGGTTGATGAGAATATCCGATCCATAAGCAAAATCTGCCACCGAGTCCACTCTCACACTGGCCTCCTTGGTGATGACCCCCATAAGTAAACGATTATTTGTCACCATCTTGGCAATGGCGGATTTATCCTTGAAAACTGCAGGCAGGATGTCTGGAATTAAATGTGCCACCCGATCGTTGCCCAAGTAAATACCAAAGTGTGTGAATAAGGTCCGGGGCACCTCTAGCAAGTCGCCACGCTTGTACAGAGACAGGTCATATTTACAGTCTTCTTCCTTTTTGGAGGCAGCAAAGAAAAAGTTGAGCAGTTGGATGAGAAACATGATGGCAGTGAGGCAGACACACTTGATAGCTATGCTTTTATTAATGGTTGGAATGGGAGGAGCAGGACTGGTTAGTAGGATTACATACGGCTTAAGGCTCAAGGAAAGTTTGGACGGGGATAAAGGAGCTTTTTGTACTCGGGAGCTTTTTTTAAATGTGTTTCAAAACTCAAGCATTGTTTGCAGTGTATTAAGGTCAAAGCTCCTCATTAAGAAGATGAGTTAAAGCTTCTTTTCAAAGGTCACTATTACTGAGCCATCACTAACAAAAAGCCTTTGTTTGGGAGATTATCTGCATGATTTTATCATTCCTTGTTATGTTCTTTCTGTTTCTTTTCTGTTCCATTGCTCTTCTGCTCTTTTCCAGTGGCGGCGCCAGGGGAGGTGCTAGGGGGCACTATAGCTACCCCTGGATTGAGGTTGGTTTATGCTTGACGCGTCCGCGAGGTCCGCGCAGTGAAATTGCATCATTTTAACAACCACGCCCCTCCACCGCACCTCTGCACGGCCCAAATTTTCCGCATCGCGCACCTAGGAAATTTTCTAACCACGCGGACAGTCGAACGTGGAATAACATGGCGGACTGGCAAGAACTAGTATGGCAGAGGTTCGTAAATACAGACATTTGTATGATTCAGCTCTCAAAGATCACTGTGATCCAGGCACGTGCAGGGGGCAGGGTGCTTGAGACCCTGCCCCTTTTGTCCCATGTGCCCAAAGTGCCCTTTTTTTTATATTTATTTATTATGAATTTATTTTTACTTTTTTTTTTTTAAATTTCTGTTTGTGCCCCCTCAACAATAACAAAAATAATAATTAATAAAATTTCTGTTTCATAAAGTTATATAGCTGGCATGAGTCACGTGACCATACCATCTCTTCCTCACGCCAGAGCGCATAGCCGGTTACAACAAGCTGCAAGCACCCACGTTTTCTTCATGGCCAAGCGAGTGGTGCAGAGCTTTTAGGACATACGTATTGATTGGGAGAAATGGACTAACACCGGTAAGTAGGATGCACACTACTATACAAAGTTATTAGATTATTTTGTACATTATTAAGTTGTTTTGTGGCACTAGGTGTGTGTGATATATTACTAGCTGGGTGTGTGTCTGTGGCTGGGTACCGATTCTGAACCTCAGTAGGTTTAGGATTAACCAAAAACATTTTCTGCAGGTCTAGAAGCAGACTCTTGTTCATTGTTTATTTTTGTGGGGAACCCCCCCCCCCCCCCCTCTCTCCCCGCCTTTTCCTTTCTCTTTCACCTCTGTCTCCGTGTCTGGTCGGAATTACAAAGCATTCAACAACAATAACAATAAAGTTTTAAGTATCAGGCGTGACATTAAAAGCAAAAGCTTTGATGCTCCACCTGAGAATAAATCTGTAAGGCTTGTCACCAGCATTCAGACATCAATTCTGCTTGCTTCACAGCCAGACAGGACACGGTAAAAAAATAAATAAATAAATAAATAAATAAAAAAGGATTAACCAAAAACACTCTGTACATAAGTACTTGTCTGAAAATATTTTTTCAATCTTAAATATTGGGAATTTGCTAATAAAATGTCATTGTTATTAACTAGGTACCGCAAAGTTGCATTCCTATTGCTGCTGCGTGTCACATGACTGGGGTCTCACACAGCCCTGCTTCTTGTTTACAGAATCACTTCCTGGTTCGCAGACTGATAACACTTGAACAAATTTAAAATTTAGCTACCTTTTGTGAAAGGAAATAAGAAAAATACTAAAGGTAACATCCGTCACAAGTTTTGTGTTACAAAATATTCAGTCCTTGTCTGTAAATTCTGTCCAGCGTTTTAGGGAACATAGTTTTGTTTTAGATTTTAAGGTTTCTCAGCCCTTCTGGTGGGTTTTATAGTTCACTAATACTATGCATATTCTCAAAATGTTGGAGTTTATATTTGCTCTCTTTTTGAATGCAGTGTATTAAAAACATTATGTTTTAAAGATGTACTTTTAAAAAAACTACTGTTTTCACAGCAAAATTATTTTATCTGTACAGTTCTCTGTTTTGCACAAAGTAGATAGTAAAACTGAATGAAAGCATAAACATTGTTTTATCCTTTATTTTTATTATAATTACTAAAGCACTATGATTAAAATAGTTTGGAAATATTCTGGATCAGCATCATGAAGCAAATTTGTGGCCAAATTATATAAAGTTAGTTTTCTGGAAAAGGAATGAAATGTCCCAGTATGTGTATGCATGAGTTTTACATGCATGAAAAAATATTTGTAAATGAATTATGATATATCATTGTACAGACGTGCCTCGTAAGGAGAGGAGGCGGAAGCAGCGACAGAAAGAGCTACATGAGGCAGCTAAAGGCAGTGGGTCCCTCACCAGCTGGATAAAAAAGAGTACAGGTAAGTTGCATCACAGCAACAAGTGTAGAAACAATAATATACACAACTGCAATGTTTTGATGCCAGAAAATGTTTTTTGTTAGCTACTTGATCATGGATTAGGTGCAAGACCTGTTAAATGTGAATAACTACATAAGTCATTCATACAATAGCTAATTTTGCCTTGTTCTCAGATGGACAGCAAGTGGAGAGTGATAGATCACATGAGATGGAAGACACACACACACACACACACACACACACACACACACACAACTCTTTCTGTTTATATTTCTGTCACATTCTTATCTCTGACATAAACTCCTCTATTATCCACTAATGTTTAGATTTCCATTTATTCACCACAGGCTTTGTCTCAGATATTTCTGTCTTACAGTTCTAAAGTTTTCACCAATTTTTGCCATTTTTTTATTATCTTACATTAATTTTGTAATTGACTAACATTTCTCCTCTGTTGGTTTTACTACCTACAGTCTGAGATCAACACAGCCTTGCCCTCCAGCATCACCAGCAGCAGCAAGAGGAGCAACCCTGCAACAGCTACATTGTACCCCATCATCAGGTAAAATAGGACAGCAATAGATCAGGAAGTGGAGCAGGTTGTCCAGTAATAAGAAGGTTGCAGGTTTGATCCTGACTTTAATCAGAGATTGATGCTGTTGTGTCCTTGGGCAAGACACTTAACCTGCTTTGCCTGCTGGTGGTGGTCGGAGGGACTGGTGGCGCCTGTGCTCAGCAGCTTCACCTCTGTCAGTGCGCTCCAGAGCAGCTATGGCTACATCATAGCTCATCACCATGAATGTGTTAATGTGTGTGTGTGTGTGTGTGTGTGTGTGTGTGTGTGTGTGTGTGTGTGTGTGTGTGTGTGTTGTAATGTGCCTTGGGGGGTTGTAGAACCCTAAGAAGGCATTATACAAATACAGACCATTTACCAAAACAAGTGAGTGTTGCTTTACATTGTCCTTATGTGGTAAGGATGCATATAATGATTTGCTTCCATTTTGAATTTCTAATAAATATGATTTGTTTTTCAGCCGGGTATACTGTGGTTATGTCATGGTGTTCGAAAATATTATTCTGTGTGCCCCTTTTTAAATTTGAGCACCTGCCCCTTCAAAGGTCTCTGCACAGCCCTGCTGTGATCAACATGTTAATAATTCATGGAGAGAAATTGCTCGCACTGTCGGAAAATATTAGGACGCTGTTAAAAATGCTGGAATACCATGTTGTAAACAACAGTAATTTTTACTTCTACTATGGTGTAGTGTTGGATGCATGCCATAGAGCTCCATGCTGCCCCCTACAGTTTGGGAGAATATTGGCTCACCGCAGAGACAAGCTGCATGAACCATAAACGCTGCAATTTGTGAAGCGCGTTCCAGCCGCGAGCCGCATCACCAAGCGGAAAGTGAATGCGTCAAGCATAAACCAAGCTTGTCATTGCACCCCCAGGTAAATATTAGATGTTTTTTTTTTACAATTAAATTTTAATTTAACGTGTGGATGTGATAATATTTGCATGGTGGTGCAGTTGTTAGCACTGTTGCCTCGCAGCACGAAGGTTGCAGGTTCGAAACTCGGCTGCGGCCTTTCTGCATGGAGTTGCGTGTTCTCCCCATGCATGTGTGGGTTTCCTCCGGGTACGCTGGTTTCCCCCACAGATCACAACACGCCCTGTAGGTTATAAATTGTAAGTCGCTTTGGATAAAAGCGTCTGCTAAATGAATAAACATAAACATAAACATTTAACATACAAAACAAAAATAATCAGTAAATTATCATATAGATAGTAAAAACTTAAATCAAAACGGGATATTGATGTTAACCTTTGACCTCATTTTCCACCTGTGAACGAGTGAAAGCTTGGTAAGATGGATCGGTTCTTGTTGCCCACATTTCCACGGGTTCAGTCAGAAACAAATGAATATTTGGAAGTGATCTCAGACCCACAAAAACCTACGGATCTGGATGAAGAGAGTCAACCCTCAACCGCCGCAGCAGTCGAGGGTTTTGCCGCTGGAAATGCTAACACTAACGTTAGCTAACCTTGCAACAGAAGGTTTTCTGTGTGGCTGTATGTGTTTATGATTTCATGGAAAAGTCAGCGATTGTTCATATGTTTATGATGTATATTAATGATTGTTTCAGGTGTTGTTGAGGTGTTGTGCACGCGTGTGTATCTGCTAGTGTTGAAGGTGTTTTAGAGAACAATAGGTACGCATGACCACCTCCTTCATAGCACCCTCAATAAAAAGACTAGCTCCTTCATAGCACCTGCAGAAAAACATTTCTGGAGCCGCCACTCATACACAGAGTAGCAAAGTTTTCATTTTTACCTTGTTATGCTGACAGTTTCGGCTTCTCACTTTCACCTTCATGGGACGAGGTGATCGACAAGGAAGGCGCGAGCAGTAGAGGGTAACATCGTCCTCTACTGCTCGCAGATAAACCGCATCGGAAGTGATGCATCAACATCGGTGGAGCTCTGACCAAAGTGACTGAGAGAAATCAAAATTGTCAGCAAAATAAAAGTACAAACGGAAACTTTGCTACTCTGTGTGTGAGTTAAGAACAGAAAAACAGTGATTGTATCATTGCTCTACAATTTCATAACCAAAAAAATTCTGTTTCATTTTAAAAAAGTAATGCACAAGACACAGGTAATAAACTTTTTTACTAAACACTTGTTGTAGTAACAGTTTTATAGCCTTCTGCTATAAATTATAATCTTTTTACATTATCTTCATGTGAATATTATTGTTTGTTTAGTCACATTTTAACTTGGAAATACAAAAAAATCTAATAATTTTGTTTTATTTACATGATTCTTTGTGATTCCTTCTCGCGTTGGTGAAACAGTAGTAAAAGGTTATCAAAGCACGCAGGTGTCTCTGTGATGATTCAGACTCAGGTGAAACTTCAAGCGTTCATTCAGTTCAGTTCGGTCTCATCGCTGGTGGGTTTCATTCCTTTAACCAGCCATCCACAGTGTGAAGGGAATGAGAATGGAGGGTAATGTAGTTGAAGCAGCAATGCCAAAGTGGACAATTGACACAAGTCCTAGAAGTCCTGTAATGATAACGCTGCGCTGGTCTCTGATGATCAGTTTCAGGAATTCACAGAACTAAAAGAATAAAGAGCACAGAAGACAAGAATAAATAATAAAAACACACATTTATGCTTCAATAAACAAGTCATTTTGGGGCCAAGTGTGAATTAGAATGTTTGCATCAATAGGCTAAATCATTTCATTGTTAAAAATTATTTAAGCAAACAGATTTAAATAAAACATTTGTGGTCATATACATAACTAAAATGCGCCTCTTATATTGTACATAAGGTATTTGATAAATGTACATCTTTATTAAAATATTCATATTTTTATGGGTGCGGATGGATTAGTTGGTTAAAGGGAAACAAGTAAAAATTCAAAAACTGATTTAGTTGCTTACTTTAATAAACATTAAAGCCAACATTTAGGCTAATTTTTCTATCTATACCACGTGAGATGGTGTACCTTCTCTGTTTGCCTGCTGGTTGCAGATCCATATCTGCAGAAAGTCCCAAAGTGTTCGCAGTTATTCCACAGCAGGCTGTAGGGAACTTCTCCGATGAGTTTCTCAGCCCTCTGCGCCACGCAGTCACTGGGGAGCGGCTGCGTCTTCATCACCTTGTCGGTGTGGTTCACCAGGATGTTGGAGCCATACGCAAAGTCCTCCAGCGTGTCCACGCGCACCGTGGCGCATTTATAAATGCAGCCCAGGATGAGTCTGTCGTTTGTGATGACGGAACTGATGAGCTTGTTGTTGGCCGTGAGCAAAGGGAGGATGTCCGGAATCAAGTGAGCTACTTTGTTGTTGCCTAAGTAGATGCCAAAGTGCGTGAAAAGGGTTCTGGGGACCTCTAGCAGGTCTCCTCTCCGGAGGAGAGGCGGAGGCGCGCGCTGGCCCGGACGCTCCCGGTCCTCCGCCTCCGAGCAGTTGGACTCTAACGGCTTGAGCTTGAAGAAGATGGAGAATTTCTCCACCAGGAAGGTTAGCAGCTGCAGCATGGTGATTTTTTTAACTGACAACACTTGACCTGAATGAGGTTTTTATCCTTTCTGGCACGAGGAGGAGATAGGAAAGTCAGGCAGGTGATTGGCTGCTTTTGCGCACGTGCTCGTTCTGTCATGTCAGTAGAACCTTTCTTGTTTACATGAACACATTTTTAACGTATCTATTAAACGAGCAAACAATAAAGCAGATTTTTGTTTTCTGGTGGTAAATCTTATTAGCTTCGGTTGACATTTAAGACTTTGGGAATGCTGGAACTTTTTGAACTTTTTGAAGATGGCACCTCATGTTGCATCTTTTTCAAAGTTTACGCAAAAAAAACACGGCAAGAACCTGCTTTAACACTTTTAAATCGAAAATGCCTTTCATGAAGTTTGAATGCATGTTGCAGAAAATAACAGCTGAAACTGCGTCTGTCACAAATGACAACATTGAAAGTTGAAATTTCAAGATGGAGAAAAAAACTGTGATTGTCCTAAAAACAAATTGCTAAAGGCTGGATAGATTTTCTTTATAAAAATAAAAGAGAAAATTACAGGTATAATAAAAATCAATGGGTGAAATATAGAGGAGAAGGAAAATAACAATCAGGGTGATATTAGCGATTAACATGAATATGCTGTATGTGTCTTCTTCATGCTGAATCAGCATTCAAACAAATGAAAACAGAATAAACAGTAAGGTTCAGGTTCATTTCCTCTGGCTAATCTTAATTTTGCCCACTTCTAACTTCTTTAATAAACCCTATTTCTCTGCATTTTAACATTCTCCTTGTATTTTGTTTCCATTGGCCTTTATATACCATCATATATTCCACACATAAGTCTAATGAGGGGATTTTTTTTTCAAAATGTAAAATAAAACAAGAAAAATTCTTGGAGGTTATTTTGATGAAAACATAATTATTGCCAAAGTTCCAGTTGTTTTTGTAGAGAAAAAAACATCCATTTGTGTCCTTCTCAGTATTTTATTATAAATGTGCACACATTATCATTTCATATCCTTATAACTTCACTTATGTTACTGTGTGTGTGTGTGTGTGTGTGTGTGTGTGTGTGTGTGTGTGTGTGTGTGTGTGTGTGTGTGTGTGTGTGTGTGTGTGTGTGTGTGTGTGTGTGTGTGTGTGTCTGTGTGTCTGTGTGTGTGTCTGTGTGTGTGTGTGGTGGTGGTGGTGGTGGTGGTGGTGGTGGTGTTGGGGGGGGGGGGGGTTGTTGACTCCTCATGGTTTCATATTCCATTAAACGTGTGAACACATCACATGTCTGGAGGGTTAGTTCCATAGCTGCTGGTGTTTTATCCCTCAGAAACGGAGCTAAGATGCTTATCATCACAGAAAACCTCATTGTTTTTCAAATCTGGTGTAAGACTTCACTCAATGCCTTCACTCATCAGCTGGATCAGAACGGCAGTCAGACATCAGATTGTACATATTTTTTTCTGACATGTGCTCTCATTGGGTTGGTGTTTACCCGATCTTGAACTGGCACAGAACAGTTGCCTTTAAGGGAAGCTATGGCACCATTTTCATTGGAAACATGTTACCAAATTGCATTTTTCCACCACAGCATCTAGACAACAACAAGCTAGACTTTGTGGTCTGGATGACCTGGAAGATCATTAATTCAGGATCAGTCCTGGTTCAAGCTGCTGGATTAAGCTAATAGTGTCAGTTTCAGTGACATGCTCCTGGTTTTACCAAGAAAATACTTTACAGAAACACTGCTGTCCTTTTTATTTTCATCCTTTGCATCAGTTATTACTTTCATCCAGCATGCTGACCTAGATTCTGTCAAATCTGTACAGAGGGATAAATAACTGCTGGAATTTGACTCAGACCTGTTGTCTCAGAAGATTTAACCCATGAAACACGCACTGCCACTGAGGAAGTGTGTGTTTAATTAGTGAGTAAAAAAGGGAACGAGAAACTTTAGATCACAGGTGGATGTGCAAATAGGACACAGCAAATCAAATCTTCAAAAAATTCGTACTAACTTTACCTGACTTATCAGATTTACCTACAGAATCATCAAATCTTATCATATTTTCTGAAGGATAATGGCTTCTCATTAGTCTCAATCTGGATTTTTGTGTTTATTTAAACATTTATCAGAGAATCGGCACATTCACCATCACCACTTCTAAATAAATATATTAAATATTTTTAATACATTTGAATGGCGAAAGTCTTGGTTTTGACTCCTGCCTGGGTCCTGTAATGTAAAGTGTGTTGGCACAAACTTTGTCCCAAAGTCTTTTTTAATTATCAAAATGGTTCTGTGTGGATAAATAGTTGCACTTGCTGCAGGTTTTAGGGTGAATCACACCGTTTTCAGCTGAACGGGCTTACGGTCTGCGGCCCCCAGCTGAACCCTGACTTTAACACCAACCTTTGATCCGTGAATGATTTACACCATGGACAAACAGCTCCAGACGTATAAGCTAATTAGGGGACCCCCCCCCCCCCCCCCCCCCAAGCCTCTTTAGATTTAATTTCGGGTCAAAGGGCCTGTGAACTATACATACTTTGTTTTCTTGAAGCGTATGTTGTTTACAAGCAGATTTATATATTTGAGCCTCTGCTCCAACAATGTCCTCGTGCCTTTGGTTAAACACTCTAAAAACGTCTGACGATTGCGACGCTCAGAGATGGAGCCCATATCATGGCAGTTAGAGGAAGAAAGTCACACTTTCCATCTGTCGTCGCTACACAAACAAGTTAGTTCAGGAAAAGTTCAGCTCTGTTTGAACTCGTGGGCCGGGTAGGTCATCCACAGGTCACCGAAGCTTATATAGAGCCTGTCTTCTTCACATAATAAAAGACGATAACACAACGTCAGATTTATTTCATGTCAGCATGTAGCCTGAAGATGAACAATAATTAAGCTTTATTTGTCCACATGTAGCTTCACTGTTTGATCTGATGTAATAAATACATGTTATTTTGCTGTAAGACACCTGGCTCGATTACCACTGGATAACTCTATCAACAACCATTATTATTGTTAAATATTACAATCTTGGTATCATTTATTATCAAACCACATGTTTTATGCTCTCAGAATTGTCCTCAGCTGTGAGTGAGTGTGTGACTGGTTGTTTGTTTCTATTTGGCCCTTATGATGGACTATAGACCCGTCCAGGGTGTCCCTTGCTTCCCGCCCAATGACCTCTGGAGTTTGGTCCAAGTTCACCCCTTCACTAATGAGGAAGAAGCAGTTAAATGAACAATAAGTAAGAATTCTACAGTGAAATAATCATAAAACAGTCTAATTTCTCAATCATGTTGAAAGAAAGGTTACATTGAAACAGTTTATCTTCTCAGCCAGCCGGGGGTTTTCAGTTTTTTCTCCTTTCGAAAAATCTAAAGAAGGACGCAGCCACTGTTTACAATCTGTGATCCTGTTGCCCATTCTGAGGTGAGCTAACGCCGCAGCTCTGGCATTTATAATTTAACACAGGTAGGCAAAAAGTCGGTGAGTTGTTTAAAGAACCAAAGCCAGTAAACAGGAGCGACACAGAAGTTATTTCTTGTACCCCTAATAAGCCACATAAGCGACATTTGTTTGCGTCTCTCTACAAGCAGAACAATGCTCAGCCGGTTCGTGTGAGTTAAAATACGTGAAAATACGTTCTTATAATGGGACCGAAAAAGCCCTGACAGCCGAGGAAGGAGATGATAAGAAGTTGCTGGACTTTTTGTCGGAGGAGATGACAGCTGTCAAACTGCAACAGAAGGCCATCCTGAACCTGGTAGAGGAGGTTAAAGCTCTCTGCATCCAAAACGCTGAAAAAGATCTGCGTCTGGCGTTCCTGGAGAGCAGGGTAGCTGACCTGGAGCAGTACACCAGGATTAACGATGTGATCATCACCGGGCTTCACGTCAAACCCCGGTCATACGCTTGGAATGAACTTTGACCTAGAGGGATATGAAGTTAACTTTGTTAACAGAAAGAATAAGACTGGAGGGGGAGTTGTTGTATATGTGGACCAAACTTTAAATTACCATGTGGTAGAAAACATGACAACTGTAATTGGCAACTTATTGGAATGTCTAACAATAGAAATTTGTAAAGAAAACCAGAAAACATTTTAATCAGTTGTATCTACAGAGCACCAGGATCTGACATTCAGCAATTCAATAAGTGGATTGAAGGAACATATTCAGGAACCAATCAGAGAGTTCTTTTCGTTTGTGGCGATTTTAACATCGACCTGTTCAATCCTAGCAAACATAAACTTACAGACGAATTTACCAATATAATGTGCAGCCTAGGTTTATATCTGAGAATCACCAGACCAAGCAGAATTACATCCCATGGTGCCACTTTAATAGACATAATTTTTACTAACGATTTGGAAAACAACACTGCTAGTGGACTGCTGATTAATGATATCAGTGACTACCAGTTTTTATTATTTATGACAGAAATTATAAGAGAAATCATTCAGTTAGCAATCAGAAAACCAAGCAGATGAAAACTGAGGAAAACATAAATGCGTTAAAAAACGATCTACTGCTTCAGAGTTGGGAAGAGGTATACAAAGAAAGGGACATTGACAAGGCATACGAGTCATTGTTACAAACATTCAGGTCCCTGTATGACAAAAACTGTCCAGTAATTCAATTTAGTACAAAACAAAACCAAGCAGGTCAGCCATGGATGACAAAGGGTTTAATAAATTCATGTAATAAGAAAAATACCCTGTACAGGGAATTTATAAAAGAAAGAACAAAAGTATCAGAAAATAAATATAAAAAATATAAAAATAAATTAACAAACATTCTAAGGCGGTGTAAAAAAGAATACTTTAGCAAGCAAGTGTATAAGAATAGGAATAAGAGGAACGTGGAAAATATTAAATGGCATCATTAAAAATAATGTTAGACAAAACTATCCGCAATACTTTCTTGAAAATGATATCATACAGGACAACACTAAGGGTGTGGCCAATAGCTTCAATAAATTCTTTATAAACACCGGACCAAAACTAGCAGAGACCATTCCAGAACCACACCTCTGAAAATTGGACCAATAATCTGATAGAGAGGAACTCTAAGTCCATGTTCATCACAGCAGTAGAGGAACGAGAAGTCATTATCATTAATGAATGTAGACATAAAACATCCACAGACTGTCATGATTTAGATATGACCACTGTTAAAAGAGTGATAGAAGGAATATCTAAACCACTAACTTACATCTTCAACTTATCATTCCAGACCGGTAAATTTCCTAACTTAATGAAAATAGTGAAAGTTGTACCACTGTATAAAGTGGGGGTAAACATCACTTCACAAACTACAGACCTGTTTCCTTACTTCCTCAATTTGCCAAGATAGTAGAAAAACTGTTTACTTGCCACCTACATACATTTTTAGAAAAACATAAACTACTTACTAACAGTCAATATGGATTTAGAGCTAATTGTTCAACATCACTGGCACTAAATGAAACACTAGAGGACATTACAAATGCTATAGATCAGAAAAAGTGTGCAGTAGGAGTATTCATAGATCTAAAAAAAGCATTTGACACAATCATCAAAACATACTAAATAAACTGGAACGCTATGGAATTAGGGGGGTGGCACTAGACTGGATCAGGAATTATTTGACCGACAGGAAGCAGTTTGTGAAATTGGATGGAATCAACCCATCATGCTTGGACATTGTTTGTGGTGT